ACAGCTGTTGTGCAGCTTTGTCCCCCTCTTTGCTTTCTGTCAGTCTTCTAGTACCTGCTCCCCCCTCCCTCTATCTCCATTACTTTTCCTTGGCTCCCTCACTAGTTGCATTTAGAATCAGTTTTTGGTCTCACTCTGCCCCTTCCTGCCTTGGGGGCTTAAGGAGGTTACTGAATGTCTCCAAGCAATAGTTTGGGGTGACTAAGCGAGCGCCTCCAGCGTCTCTCAGAAAGATGAAGTGATTATGCGTCCCAGCCATCAGGGATAATGAAGTTAGGAACACATATTGGGAATATCTGCTGCTTCTACTGGGAAGAAAGATCTACCTAACCGTGGCCGTGGGTGAAGAAGAAGCAAACGCCACCCTTGCTCTCTCTCTCAGCGGTGGACTGGAGAAAGCTGGGTTGCATGGAGTGAAGTACTGTGTGCACAGTGCTCAACAAAGAGAGAGGGCAAAACCATCATTTGTTTTCCCTGCAGCTTGGAGCCTGTGTATGGGGCAGCCCCCAGGCCCGGAGCAGAGGGATGTGCTGGGCTGTACCAGTACTGCCCATGGTCCTGGTTTCACTGCCTACCCCTGCCTTAGTGACCTCTGCTTCTATTCCCCGTCTTTTAAGAGGCCAGGACTGTAATTGTTCTTTAGGTTTCTCGAAACTTTACCGTGAGGTGGAGGCACGGGACTAGACCCATGCTGCCTCCAGCATTGTCCAGTCCATATCACTTGCTGCTTGCGTTTCAGATCTAGGTCTTTTTTGTGTTTTGAATGTAGTGTCCATCTCCAGAACGCGCTCCCCACAATGCTGGCTGTCCCCACCTCCAAGTCCCGAGATGATAAGTTGTGTGATAGTAGAGGCCGTATCTGTGTTATCAGAGCCATAATGGTGCTTGGGAAATCTTCAGACACTTAATAAGTGGACACACCTGCACCCACACATGTCACTGCCTGCAAAGTTGCTGTGAGATTGACTTAGGTAGTGGTTTTATCATTTTTCCCAGAAAATGTACCGTGCCACTTGGAGATGAGAAGAGCAGAATCCAGAACTGTTGTGTTTGTTTTCTGTCTTAGGATTTAACCACAGTGGCAGGGCCCAGGTTCTGACTGTTTTTGTTCATCATGTCACAAACTGAGGACTGAGGACAACAGGCCATAGGAGCATTGTGGCTGTTTGTTCATTGTGTTACAAATTCAGGCCATAGGAGCACTGCAGCAGGCAGCTTCTGTGTAGCTTGAATCCACGTTGCTTCATTTACACACATCGTGGAAATGGTCTTCAGGAGGCCTTAGAATTCTGCTCACACATACTGTTGAGATTTCGTGTGACTTTTATTTTTGGCCACAAAAAAAACGGACATAATCCACGCTGCCTTTAACACACCTACTAGGGCTGCTTGCACTATCCATCTTGCAAAATATAAGACAAGGCCAGAGCTTAAATTAAAATCCTTAGCCTCTTATCTCCTTCCCACAGGAAAGCAAATCTGTGTTGAAAACCGTAAAATTAAGAGGAGAGCAAGGATAGCATAATTTAGCAAAAATTCATGGCACCAGAGTCTGAGCCGTATGGCTGGAGGGACAGGTCAGACATTAAGGAACGCTGCCTGCCAATGCGAGCTCCTAAGGGTGGTGCTCTGGAGACAAGAAAGGCATGCAAAACAGAGAGATCCTTCCAGAAGATCTCTGCAGTGCTGTCGATAACAACCCTAAGAAAATATCTTTTTTGATTACTTGGCAATTACACTTTTGAGACTTTCAATATAGGAGTTGGAGTAGTTATTCTAAACTAGGGTCGAAATGTATCAGTTTTCAAATTTGGGAAGCAAGAGGGTTGTTTTTTGTTGTTGTTGTTGTTGTTTTGTTATTCTACTTTAAAAAATAATGTGTGGTTTTGTCTCTACCCAGCCCTCTTCCCTAGCCCTGAATCCCCTGTATTTCAGAGGCCCCTCTTGCATATTTAGTAAATGACATCATTAACACTTGAAAAGCATTAAAGTATTTTTTAAGCCTTTTGCACACTTAGATGCATAGATGTTTGTGTTAATATATGTAGCAGAAAATTGTGAGGCTTTGATAAATGCCGAGGGCTAGATGAGCCATGCAAAGGTTCCCATTAGAGAGGACCTGATAATTATCAAGCAGAAGCATAATTGCCCAACAATCTACAAGGATACTTTTTCCTTTTTTTTTTTTTTTTCTGGCTTGTTATAGTAAGCACTGTAGAAATCCTATCATTGTCCCAAGAAAGCGTTACCGTCTGCCTTTACTGTTCCCAGCCCATGGTTCTCTTTTGGGTGATTGGTTGTAATGATGGGTGTAAGGAGCACTAAGTGTCACCAGGATGATTGCTCCTAATTTCCCTGAGGGTGACCTTCTTGTTGAATCAGACCCTTCTGGTGCTTTCTTGGTAAAAAGCACCGAATTCCAAGTGAGTGTGTACCATAGTTGCAGCCCCATTCGATGTATTGTAGAGTCTGTTAGCCATCGAGACAGGGCCATACATTTGAACAGTTCATGTCAGGACACACCTCAGTCCACTTCCTCCATTTCTGTTTAAAATGATTTATTTACCTCTTGAGAAACTCATTCCACAATCATCTTAGCCTGGCCTAGCACAGTAAAATGTCACTAATTCAAACTAATTACGGGGAAGGCAAGCCTGAACTGGTGAGCTTGCTCGCTGTGCTGTGTTCCTCTGAAATCTGAGTTGCTCGTGCACGTTTGTAAACGTGCATCCTTCTGAGGATGCTTTAACGAGTAGATGGTGGAAATCAGAGCCACCTTTTATGTGTGTATAAGTGTGTTGCATTCCGTTTCTTTGGGGGGATGGGGAGGTTTCTTTCTATTTTCATTGTTATTATTTGTGAATAAAATTGTATGCATTTACCACATCTAACAGGGTTTGAAGTGGAATGGTTAAATCCAGTTAGTTAACATATGAATCACTTTATGAAGGTCAATGTTCACTTACCATGTTTTCAAAAAGACAGTATATTAGGGATGGGACATGGTGGTACATACCACTAAGCCTGGCACTCGGGAGCCTGATGCAAGAGAATCTAAATAGTCTGTCCCTCCTTCCCTCTCATCCTCTGTCCTTCCCTTCTTCCTCTCTGTCCTCTATCTGTCCTCTCCCTCCACAGAGGCACACACATGCACATAAGCAAATACATTATATTGTCACTAGCTAGTTTCTTTTAAAATGGTTGTTTCTTTTAAGTTGAGCCTGTTTCAAGTCGTTACCCTTACTGATTTATTTAGTCAGCACTTTCTAGAATACAGAAAACCTTTTATTTGTAATGTTTGTCCTAATGTTGAGCCTGTTTCAAGTCGTTACCCTTGCTGATTTATTTAGTCAGCACTTTCTAGAATACAGAAAACCTTTTATTTGTTTGTTTGTTTGAGAAGCATCGTACTATATAGTCCTGGCTGGCCTGGAAGTTGCTGTGTACACCAGACTGACTTGAACTCACAAGAGAACTACCAGCCTCTGCCTCCCAAAGCCTGGGACAAAAGACATGTGCTACCTCACCTGGCTTGGGTGGAAGGACACCTTTTAACTTTGCCACAGTCAAAACCATCACAGATTATAAATAAATGCCATGCAAATCTGGATCTTTTTTTTTTTTTTGAGAATGCAGTTACATACTTTTGGGCTTCCAAATTCAATAAAATATGATTGTAAGTTTGACATGGTGATGTAAGCTACCTGAGAGCCTGAGACAGGAGGATTGTCATGAGTTGAGGCCCAGCCAGGGTAACTTTCTGAAGACCTGTCTCAGATTTTAGATAGCTATTGGCCAACATGTGCAAAGCGTTAGCAGATCCCCAGTACAAAAGAACAAAGTTTCCTTGAAACACACACACACACACACACACACACACACACACACACGGGGGGGGGGGGGGGAGAGGGGGGGAGGGAGAGAGAGAGAGAGGGAGAAAGTATGCGCCTGTGCAAGAGCCCTTGCCTCCACAGATACACACCGGGTCAATGTCAGGAGTCTTCTACCAATCCGTCTCATCTTGGAGACATGGTGCTCATCATTTTGGCTGGACTCTCTGGCTAGCAAGCCCTAGGATCTGGCTGTCTCCTTTCCCCCAGTGCCAGGACTGCAGGCATGCTCCAGCACACCAAGGTTTTTATGGTGAACCAGACTCAGCAAGCAACTTTGTCCACTGAGCCATCTCCCCAGCTCTTGTTTGTTTTTAAAATGAGGTCTTCTCTTTAGTCCAGGCTAGCCTCCAACACTCATTCCTTCCCTCAACTTCTTGAGTGCTGGGGTTACAGGCATGACCCATAGTGCCCTACCGAAGAATGTTAAAATGTGCGATGTTAGCAATTGAAAGTGTTCTTTCAGACTCCTATTTTTGTGTTGTGAAATTAAACACAAGATTGGGAATTCTTGTGGAAGCCAGAGGAGCAGGAGACAACTGAGTAGCAGCAAAAGCAAATGATCACATCTGACAAAGCGACAAGACGTGCAAAAATTGTCGGAGCATCGTATCGAAAGATGTGCTAAGGCATTACGGACTTGTAAATCATAAATCTGTGCCGACCAAGTTGTTTCAGTTGCCAATATTTGATCGCTAATTTGTTCAAAGGGCAGGTTTTTTTTTTTTTTTTAATTGAATGTCTTCTACAGCTAAGCCATATGTAAAGAGCTTATAGGTCACGACTTTGACCTAGCAGCTGTTTATCAAACAGAAAGGAGGGAATGAGAAAGAAGTACAAACATGTGTGTCCAGCGGTTCGGGTCATGTGACACACAGTGGCCAGATATCCTCTGCAGGCCACTGGTGAAGTCACCATCAGCTTCTTTGAGGGGTATTCTTGTGCTTGAGTATTTGTCGTAGAAATGCTGGCAACCGGTCAGGACTACATGCTTTTGTGTTCTCTTAACGATGACTGCCTACTGGTCCTGTGTGACTTTTTTTCTTCTTGGGGACAGGAGACAAGAGGCAGGAGGCCATATTAACGATTGGCCTTGTGGTTACTTTGCAGTCAAATAAAGTGCCGGTGGTGCAGCCATCTCACGCCGTCCACCCTCTCACCCCCCTCATCACTTACAGCGACGAGCACTTTTCTCCAGGATCACACCCGTCACACATCCCATCCGATGTCAACTCCAAGCAAGGTAAGCATCTCCGGCCTGCCCAGGTCTCTTGAGCCGAGTCCTGGTATTCCAGGTATGCAGGTGTCTTTGCCCCATGTGAGTCAAAAATGCACTCGAAGATGCATACAGTTGGTTGTCAGTTCTTCAGAAGTCCATAAAAATTGTTGTCGCTTTAATTTTTTCACAAAAAAAACCCCAAAATGACCAAGAGCAAAAACAACAAAACAGAAGAAAAGTGTAAAAGTGTTCCAAGTGGCAGATATGAAAAAGACTTTGATCTGCAATGCAAACCAGTAGGTTGTACAAACAGACTTAAAGCTCTGTTCTCTGCCATTTGTTCACTAATATTTACAGGGGATATTTTTCAAGCCCCACTCCCCATGCCCACTGAATAGATGTGAACCCCAAACTTAATCAGTTTTCTCTATCGCTAACCTTTCTCTCCAACTGTGGCCATAGCTCTTGTTGTTGGAGAAGGAACAGCATAGCTAGCAAAGATTTCTCTTTCCTACGTCACAGGTAGGAAAGTGGTTTTATCCCAGATCTTAGAAATCGAAACGTGATTTCTTTCTCCTCCATATGAAGTCCAGAACAGAACTTTTCCACTGAAAACTGCATTGATTCCTGTTGGGATACCTTATTCCCCAGCATAACTGCTTGTGCCCTCGGGGTCAGCTTTAAATGACACCGGGCTTATTGGACCACAGGCACTGCTATGCTGGGACAGTAGACCCCTTGATATGATGACTCAGACAGCTACTATGTGAATAAGGGGAGTAGTGCACACAGTGTGGACGTGGGGGTCTAGGGATGGTGTACATATCCTAGGCAGGGAACAAGGAGCCAAAGCTCTCATCATGCACTCAGTATAAAATCATTCATTTCTGGACTTTCCTATTGATATTTTAGACCTCAGCTAGCCATGGAGAACTAAAACTATGAAAAAAAGAAACCCTAGCTTGGGGTAGTGGGGGTGGTGACTACCATGTAAGATGTTGGTGGCTTTCAGTTTTTTATTTAATTAGTTAAATAAAAAGAGGGGGTTACACATACTAGGCAAACACTCCAACACTGAGCTACACCTCCAGCCACTGTTCATAGTTAGTTCTATATATTTTATTTGCTATATATGTTATATAATATAAATACATATTATTATTTTAAGTACAGAAGGTGTGAAGTGGGATTTGTTGTTGTTTGCCTCCAGGGTTATTCTTTTCGGCCTCTGGAGATTTCTTCATTCCATTTCATTCCTATTATACTGCCCTCTTTTATGTTGCATCACCAGCTCAGATATTATAAAGTACAAAACCATCTCTGTTTAGACTCAAGACAGCATAATTTCATTCTCACTTCTCTGTATTAATGATGAAGCTCCACTTGCTCTTCATTTGCAGAAAAACTCATTTTTATGAAGTCTGAATAAAATTCAAAATGCTTGGTTTTTGCCTGTGACGAATGGAGGGTCTGGGCAAGAGGTGGTGATTCTCTTACCCTGCGGTGTCCCACCCTCTCAGCAAGTCTGTCTGTCTGTCTGTCTGTCTGTCTGTCTGTCTGTCTGTCTGTCTGTCTGTCTGTCTGTCT